TGGTTTGCCTTTAAAGTTTGGGTTCTTTTCGTAAATATTGAGTATTTCAGTGATTTTTTCAACGAGGTCTGTCTCTGATTCCTGTATATTATTAATATTAGTGGGAGTCGTTTCAATTCTGTTAACGTATTGTAATTTCAGATTTTCCGTTTCTTCTAGTTTCATCGTGATTTCTGCTTGTTCTAATTTGTCTACTAGTTTTCGAAAATCTAAATCGGGTTCTCGAATTGAAGAAGGATGGGATGCTCTCTTTTTTATTGTTATTTTCCTTAATTGTGGTGTTATGGTCATCATTAAGATTTCTGTCATCTTTGTGTTTTTATAGTCGTGTGTATTTAATGAATATGCTTTTCGAACTAGTGTTTGGATTCGTACTGCTATTTGCTTGATGGTTTCGTTTGGTAATCTGCGAATTTCATTACATAAAACTCTTTGTTGTTGTTTGTTTCTTTCGGAGTCAAACATTTTTGAAAATTCCTGTGTAAACCTTTTCCAGTTTGATTTTATTTCTTGAGGTAGTACTGAAAACCATTTTTGGGCTGCGCCATCTAAGGTTGTTTGTATTAACGCTGTGCGTCGATGTATCCAATTTTGATGTAGTGGCGTATTAATTGGTTCAGGTCCAATATTTAAAATCAGGTTTGCTGTTACTGCATTTAAATAATCTTCTACAGAGTATTCAGGGTCTGTTCCTGTGAAAACCATTAAAGGTTTGTTTGATGTTATTGATGATCCACCCATAAGGTATGGATTCATTGTCATTTGTAATGATTCTGCTTCATTTGGCATTTGAGAAAAATTTGAAAGTTGGTTTCTTGTTATTTCATGTTGTTGGAGATAATATGGGAGTGGTATTTCATTTTGCATTTGTGATGCTTGATACGAGTGTGCAGTCATTGGATTTTGTTGTTGAATTGGTTGAAAAGATTGTGTATTAATTAGATTTTGTTGTTGAATTGGTTGTTGATATTGTGCATCTATTGGTTGTGGAGAAAAATTTCTATGATTTGTACGTGTTCTCTGTTTTTCTTGTCTACGATATTCTTGAGTATTTGGTGCAAATATATCTGGTTGTAAGAAATCATCATCTGAGGATAAATAATCCATTTGATAAGATGTCTGTTTTTTATTTTTATTTTGTTGAAAAAATGGGTAATTTTCACTGTGATCCTGTGGAGGATTTGTTTGGAAATTTATTGAATTAGGTTGGGTCATTGGGTTATCCCAATTTCGAGATCTTGTATATTGGTTAAAATTTCTTTGTGGTTGGTTATATGTTTTTGATGGATGTGTATAATTATAATTATGGTCTGCAAAGTTGTTTCTAGTGAATGTTTTGTGTGTTTTTGATGGTATTGTCATGGGTCTGTATGTTTGGTAATCCATATGTGAATATTTAGGAGCAACCGAAGGTTTAACGGTTGATTGTAAGGTTACCTGTGTTTGTGAAGGATTTGTATTTCTTGGTGTTGTTAAATTTGGGCGTATTGGTGAAATACTTTGTTGTGTAGTTGTTGTGTGTACAATTTCTTCATTTATGAAGTGTGATGGTGTCTGGATATCTTGTTGAGTAAGATTCCTAGTTCCATTGAGGTTTTCATTGTGTATGACTGTAGAGTTTAAACTATTATTTTGTGTATCGGGCAAAAATGTATTATAGTTTAATGGTGTTGCATCAATGGTTAATGGTATTACTTTTACATAATCTCTTATGTAAGATATGGTACTTATTGCTTGACTTGAGATTGATTGTGGGAAGCTTATAAATGCGGGATGAGACCATTCGGGGTCCCAAACATAATCTGATTGTTCTGTGATAGCGGTATCATCGTTCGAGTTTTGGGGTCTAAAATTTTTTCTTGCTTGTGCAATTAAATCAATATTGTGTGTGAAATAATCTATTATGAACCATGCCAAAATTTTTTGTAGATCGTGTTTTGTATGTTGTGAAACGTCGTCTTTCGTGAAATTTTCTTTAATGATGTTTAAATAACTAGAGAGTAGTGTGATTTCATGTCGTACTCTTAAATGTTTAGATGTTTCTGTCGGTGAGACATTTGTTATTGGGATTTCGTTTTCTAATATCGAAATATAACTATATATTATTGCGAAAACTTTATTGGTGAATATGGAGTTTGCTCTTTGTGAGTTATGATATTGGATGCTTTTTATATATTCTGAAAAAAACTTTTGAAAATTCTAAATCAAGATCGTCTGTTTGAATTGTATATTTTCTATTATTATGGTTTGGTGAGGTGAATTCTATGGAGTAGATTCCATACTGTTGTGTTATGTTGCATATATCTTTTAAGTAGTGGTCTATGATTTGTCTTTTGATTTTTACATCTGGGAACTCTGTTTTACATGGACTGATTCCGGGTTCAAATAAATTTAATAGTAAATTTTTGCAAAATATATGCTGTCCTCTATCAGTGGTTGCATCTACTATAAAAGGAAAGATTTCATCATCATCTGGACTTTCTTCACCTGGGGTGTGCGTTGAGCTCATTTTTTCGTTCGATGACTGTTAATATGTAATTATTAATGTGTCGAATTGGTTGATTCCAATTGTATAAATGTACTGGTTTGTGTTTATACTGCTTTTTTATTCTTCTTTTTCCTCTTTTTGATGAATTTGAAGTTGTTTCTGAGTCAGAAAAATATAATTGATCGTGAAGTGGGCAATTTTTATCTATTGATTCTTTTAGTTTGTAAAGTTCGTCTAAACTGTTGGTTTCTGATTCTGAAAATGCGTTTCGATTTTTTGAAAATCTTTTTCGTGTTATTTGTCTTTGTTTCGTTATTATTTTTCTTTTTAGTGTTTGTCGTTTTGTTCGAATGTATCCAACTGTTTGTGTATGAGGTGTGATTACAAGGTCGTATTTTTTGTTATCTATTTCACAATTGTGTAAAACGATTGTTTGTTTATTTCCTAGGTTTTTAAATGACATAAGGTTTAGGATGACGGATGCAAAAGGTTGTTAAATGGTTTCTATTTTCCTAAACTGTTAGTTCTTACGATTTTTTGGTTAGCTTAACCTGGGTCTGTTTGTTCAGGGTTGGAGAGAAAAGTATATCGATTCCGAAGAATGATTTTTTACTTTCTCGTGGCTAGTATAAGTTAAGGTGTTAACTGACTTAATCTTACTTAGGGGTAGTGATTGTGTTCAAGGGTTGGAGAATAGTAAATCGATCCACAAGGTTCAGGTATAATTAGAACGCGAGTAGTTCGTTAGATACTATTTTAAACTTACTAAGTCTAAGATTTATCCTGGGTCTGGTAAGAGGGGGGGTCAAGTGAAGGATGAATAACCGAAGTTCTTCACTGTTTATCCTAATTTGAATGATTAGTTTTTGTTTAAAAATTTCTATTAGTCTTAGGTCTTTAGAAAGGGTTGGGTAGTGAATCGACGTTTGAGGTCGTTAGACACTAATTAAGTGGGTGGGGAGAACAAAGTTGTTCTGTTTGATCCAAGGATAAGCCTTGATGATCAAATTTGAAATTTAATTAAGTAGGAAATGATTTAAGATCCAAGGATAAGCCTTGATGATCTGGTTTTAAAATTAAGTGAATTTAAGTTTTAATAAAATTTTAAATGTGTGTAAAGGAAAGATTTAGTGTTTTGATGATATTAGTGGGTTTATGATTGCTGTTATGTTTTAGATGATGGAGCTGGAACAACAGGATGATTTATGATTACTAACCATTTATTGTCATGCTACTAATTTTTATTTTTATTTTTCAATAAATATTTTTCAAACATGTTTTGTATATTACTGCAGAGTTTTAGGAAAACGATCTTAGATCTTTTTATCAATCGTTATTGTATATTAATAATTTTGTTTAGCGCCTGAAATGATTTTGAAGATTAACTTCAAGGTTTTATGTTTGCAAATGAAAATCTAAATTCATTGCTAGTAGTATTCTAAATATAAAAGTTTGTTCTGGTTTTTGCCTAACTATCATATAGCTATATGGCAAGTTTCTACTTTGTCGTATGTCGTCTCTGGTTCGAAGTCTTCTTCCAATTCCGGGTAGTTCTGTTATGGTTCGGAATATTGGCTCTGATCTATTGAGTCGTAGAGACATTTCGATTAAATTATTGTCGTATAACATTTTTTAAATGTTTTTTCTAATTTCTAATCTATTTTGGTTAATTCTAAGCTATTAAGGTCTTGTTCGAGACTTATGGTCGCACCAGATGAGTTAGGACCGAGTTGGTTAACTCATAGAGTAATTTCGGATAGGGTACACCGTCTGCTCGTCACGCTATCTTATTTTCGGCCGGATAGATTCGTGCAACTTCTTAGTCTAATACCGATCCTAATCTTACTCTTATACTATCTAGTCTCAGGTTGTTTAACTAGTCTCTGCTAGGCTCAATAGATCTAGGGTATACTGGTTTATTGCGGCTGCTGAAGTGCTCGGGAGAGTCCAACTAATTTCTAAGTTAAATTCAAATCTCTCTGGTGCTGAAATTACAAGTAACTTCAGCACTTACAAAAAAGTGGGTTGTTAGTTAGATGGATCATGATTGGTTAATATTAAATACTTTACATTGGTAAAATATCTAAATTATCCAATCATAAAATGTAGTCTAGATCAGGTTCCAATTGTCCCAAATTGGCCAAAATGGCAATCTTTAAACCCCCGTAACTTTTCGAAAAATGATCACAGGTGAAATATCTTTTCAAATTTGAGCTCAAGGCAACAATACCTTTCGAATGGTATAAAAAATTCTGTCAAAAATGGCTAGTTAAAAAGTCGAAATTTGTCTGAAGAAAAAAAAACCCACCCCGAGCACAAATATTCCGTTACTTTCGTATCGAAAGTCGGAACAAAAAGTCTAGATTTGATTCTACAATAGTAACATACTCCTTAGCAACTAACTGGTTTGTTTTGTTGGCTATTTTTAGAAATGTTTTGATTTTGATTAATTGTTATATTAAAAGCCAATTGAAACGAATGATCAATTTATGGGTTTTTGAATTGTCTTTAGAAGTAGCTGGTGTCCTTGACTCTTTGACCTTGAATGACACTACTGCGACCTCACTTACCATCAGTGGATTTGGAGTGAACTCTGGCCGCTTCACCTCGCTAAACATCACTCTTCGAGGGATTTGGTTATCAATGCCATCGAAATTTCTAAAGTAATACCAGTTTTTTTTAAGAATAACATTTTTGTTTCATTTTTTGTTTCAATTTATGTTAAAATTTGTTCAATTTGTTCAATAATTGTTCAATTTGTTGTTCAATTTGTTCAAAAATTTGTTCAATATGTTCAATTTATGTTAGGAAGAAAATTGTCACATTGTACAAATCTAATTTCTCAAATATTGTGACTACGCCATAGTCGATCAAGAATGATTATATTGCAATATCTTTCAAGCTAAAGGTGATATTGCAAGGTCTTGCACGAGCGAAGTTAATTTGCTAGAATCCTAAAATATTGATGGTTTTTTGCAAGAATCTTGCAAGAATCTGGCAATTCTTGCAAGATAACCCATCTGAACAAATTTCACAAAACTTGTTTTGACCCCAAAAAACCCATTGAGATCCATTTTGACCTTGGTAACAATATAATCTAAGTTTTGAATAGGAAAAAAAAGTTGGATTGAACAAAATTTAAAAATTTTTATATGTGAGGTTATTTTTCAGCATTCGTAAGGTGAATAGTTAGAGTTTATGCTTATACTTTATTCATTTTGAGTTAAACCTTTCGATAACATGTTTTTTTTTCGTTTTTTTTCTTGGAATAATCCACCTAATTGTGCAAATCTTGTAATTAAAATATAGCCTTTTGTTGGTCATGTCAAAAGAGTCAGTTTGCTAGAAATCTTTTGTATTTTCAGTTAACAAAGGTAATATAAACAAATATATTCCACCTATTCTAAGCGACTAAAGCTTTCTTTTTTCTTTTGTTGATTTTTTTAAGTACATTGTTTGTCACCAATTGTTACTTGGATTGCTTCCTTCTTACGCAAACGCTATAGATGTTTTCGCGTGTAAAGATTTTTCCCCAAAAATAATTTCTTTGAAGATCTTGCTGGGAGAAAAAATTATCTCAGAAAAAGTTTATTTTGCAAGATCTTTCAAAGAGATAACCTCCATTCTCAATAATGCAATTTCAGTTCCATGATCTGGCCCATCCGAGTTCGATTTACTGAGACATCAATTCACTGGACTAACACTGGAAATCACGTATCACGTTTTTCTTCCAGCTGATCAAGGTATAACTCTTTTAGGGGCCATTGCGCATTACTAACTAGTTTTTTTTTGATTCAAAGTAAGCAATCGACAGCATCGAAGGAGAAATGAAACTTTTATCAATTTTTGGCAAGTTTGATAGTTAAGTTTTTGAATATGGAACATTTTCGGCCCAAGAGGTTGTAGGTCAGTAAATCAATTAATCAGTAAACCGAAAACGTCCGGAACAGATCAGTAAACCGAAAAAACAAGCATTGAAAAATTACATAATCGCATTATTTGAGAAAAAAGGTTTGTACAAAACGACAGTTTTTTTTCATCAAAACATGAATTGAACCATAAAAGGAAAAAAAACGTCACTATTGCATGAGCCTTATAAATTTATTAATGTTGTTTTAGCTCTGGAAAAATTTATTATACATATCTTTATATCCACAGTTGATGTTATTATTACGTAACAGTTTATATTCACAGTTGATGTTATTTGTTCAATTTACTGATCTGGTTTCATGACTAATTTAATAATCTAAAGTGAAAATAAACCCATTACGAGGCCAAAATGTTCATTCTGTGCGTGGTAAGCGGATTCCGCAACAAGCCAAAATCAGATTTGTCGCCGAATCAGCGACATTGCCATTTTTCTTTGATCTTTTTTGCTGTTGTGGATTCTACAAACAAATGCCTAAAAGACTATATCGCTCAAAATCGCTGCAAAATAGGCGAATTTGCGGAATACATAACCGTATTTGCGGAATCCAGATCAATTTGTGCAATTCACAATTAAACAATAAGACATGTGTGTAGATAAAGTGAGCTGTTGCAAAATCAACTTCTTTAAGAGGAATCCGCAAACTGTAACTGGAATCCGCAAATTGTTAGTGGAATCCGCATTTTGTTTGCGGATTTCGTTTACATGTATGTATATATGTAGTAGCGTTTAAAATTATCTTTTTTAATAACTAGGTGATCACTACCAAGTTCAATCTCAATTACTACATTAATATGTTCATCAGCTACCTGTTGAAATGCCTAATATTCGATTTCTGTCAAACACCCAGCTTCAGTATTTGGGATTGATGGAATCACAAATACTGAGCAGTATTTTGGATCAATAAAATCCCAAATACGGACCTAATTTGGCGATATGCTGTGCAATATGTTTCTAAACACTCCCAACCCAATGACTCTAAAAAGGAATTTATTTCATGTTTATTCCATATTTTTCCAGTTTTCGGGGTCATATCAATCCCAAATAATGACCAGATTTTGTGATCGATGAATTCGCAAAAACTGACAAAAAATCGGCGATTTGTTCTGCGGTGGATTTCCAAACACTCTCAACCCAAGGACTCCAAATAATTAAATTATTCCAGATTTATTCCATAATATTTCAGTAATTGGGATTCCATCAAACCCCCCTACTGACCAATATTTGGGATCGATGTAATCGCAAATACTGACATAAATCGGCGATATTCTGTGCGTTGTGTTTCTAATCATTCTCAACCCAATGATTCCAAATAGTGAACTTATTTGGTGTTGTTTTTCCAAAACTGTGATCACAAAGATTGTTTGCTGGGATATATATCCCAAATACTAAAAGATGACGTCCATCGATTTAGCTAACCAATGTTTTAGGATTGCTCGTGAATTCCACTAACAATGGTTGAGTCCTTGCTTTTACACTCCTCATTGCTAAAGACAAGAATTCCAGCTCTAGCTTTTAATTGTTCATATGCAAGTTTAGTAATTAACAAAATTCGGAATCAACTTACAGTTTCAATTTCCAGTTACATTAGCGAATTCCACTTACATTTTGCGGAATCCACTAACAGTTGCGGAATCCAGAACAACTAGCTATATTCGCGGAAGTTTTGAAAATAGAATTCACTTACATTTTGGAGCATTTTCAAAGAGTAGCTTGTGGAATCCAGGAACATACAAAATTGTGCGCCTATCCAGTGCAAATTTTGGCCTCGTAATGCCGTTAAACTATATCAGTAACAGTTTTTTTTCCGATCTCATCCGATCTTTATCATGTTACTTTTTGTTGGCACTTAGGAAACATTGCGTATTCATTCCAAGTAGGTCTGTGCAATTGTGTTTCTGTGAATATCATCAAAACTATTGAAACGAGACAAACCAGAGACAACTAAGGTACACAGTTTTGTGTATAATACTTGTACTGGCGGAGAGAAAAATCGAAAAGTTTTTTTGGAAAAAATATTGTTTTAATCAATCTTGTTTTTTAAATGTTAATCATTTTTTAAATATCTTTTTTCACGATGCGAATGTGAGATGACATTGCCAACTAAACCTCTCCTTCCCTCACCAGGAGCATGTGCGGCCGACAGTTCAACCCACTTCAAATACCACGACTATTACTACTATGACTCAGATCCTCTTACCGTGACATTTGATTACCTGAAACCATTATGTGACTACCATGTGTCCTACTATGCGAAATGTGGCAACTATTATGTAGGCTATGAAGAAAACTCAACCAGAAGCGTGGAAACTGTTTTCAAAACTGCTGGTGAGTTTAATGAGTATATATATGAACTCTCTAATCTGAAGAATTTGAAAAAAAGATTAGTCATATTGACCCCAATTGAAACTATTTTAGGATTCATTAGAAAATTATAAGTTTTTTGCCTACAAAATTTTTGGAAAATTTTCTTCAAACGCTTCTGTTGTATAAAGTCATTGCCTTTGAAACAATTTAGTGAATGGGAGTCTTTCCAACTTGTCTTTAGAAAGACCTGGTGTCCTCGACTCTTTGATCTTGGAAGACGCTACTGCGACCTCACTTACCATCAGCGGGTTTGGAGTAACCTATGGCTGGTTCAGCGACCTAAACATCACTCTTCGAGGGATTTGATTTTCAATGTCATCAAATTTTTCAAACTTCTACCTTTTTTGATAGAAATTCTTTTTTTCCAGTGCTCTTAGGACGAAAAGGTATCAGAAACTTAGCTATGAATTTTGTCAACAGTTTAAATAAATGTTTGTTCCGCGCATGTTGTCGTATATTGCTTACGTTAAACCAAAAAAAAAATTGGTTTTACGAGTTGTCCCTTAAAAGAGTAAACACATTGATGACCTCCCGGGTTGACCTCCATAAAACGAAAATGCTCATCTTTCATTTCCCCACACCGAAAAAGCTTATCATACAATTACCTGCATCAAATGTATGGAAAGATGCTAGTCATACAATTTTCATACAATTTACAAAAAACCATTGAAAAAAGATTCAATCCAGTTTCTCCGGCTATTTGAATCAAATCAAACAGTCTGGTAATGAAAAATAAATAGGTTTGTTTTTTTGGAAAAAAAAATGTTTATCAGACAATTTCCATATATGAAAATTGTTTGATAACCATTTTTTCATAAAAGGCGAGATTTTGAGAAACACGTTAAAACTAGTTTTTATCAAATTTAAAGTAATTAAGAGTGCTTTTGCTCAATTTAAAGCATCTTGCTCATCAAAAATGGAAGTTTATTTCCAGCTAAGAAAGTGGTTATTGTGACATTCGACCAGAATTGACAAAAAAATCCAGCTCGAAATATTAGCCGCTGACCTTGAGAATTGGCAGTTTTAACAGATTAGCGACGTTATTGGAACGATTAGACAAACTTTGAAGGTCAGAAAATTCTGGTATTTTAAATTTTTAAAATTTCGAATGATGACGTCAGATTTTCGGAGAAACGTCAAAAACGGCCATTTTGGAAGAAATCCAAAATAAAACAGAACAATGATAGAAGTTGCGAAAAGAATAACGACGATAGTTGTGAGAAAAATGACGATATCAGATAGAAGAATACAACAGAGTATTAGCAGAGACCGCTCAGAGTTGCAACGATTGTGTCGCTACAATCAGTGCAAGGCGATTCACACTAACGGTGAAGGGTGGAAACCAGCCTTCCGGAGAGGAATTAAGGGTGTTATTTCCCCGGATTCAGGAATCCGGAGGGGTCTTGGGACTTGAACTTGAAGCATTTTAAACTAATTTTTAGCTTCTTGGTTATGTCCTAAATTGAATTTAATTAACATCTGGATTCATTTTTTAATAATGAGAAGCTAGGAGTTAAGGGAAAGGGTTGATCCATCTTCGAGTAATGATGGAAGTCGAACCACTACTGGAAGCGTCGGGGAAGCGTAATTGGAGGAGCATCATGTTGACACATGATGAGTTCCTCTGCCATTGCTTGCTTCAAACATGGTGGTGTCCCTGGCGCAGTAATCTGGTCTGGATCTGGGACTCTAGAGAGCTGCTCTCCATGGGTTTACCAGATTCATCACAGCCCATAACGGTAGTGATTGTGGGAGTTATGATAGCTATTTGATGGCTGGAAGCTCATGTGATGGAGAACAATCAATAGGAGATGCCGAGGAGAGATAATTTACAGGAACTGGATTGTCTTTTTGAGTCAATGTGCAAAATCTGAAACATTCCAATGGAAGTGTAGAAAAAATGGGTCAAGGGACGACTGATGGCATGGTTTAAAGCCAACATGACTTCATGGTTGTGCGAGTATGCCAAAAAGCATATGTCGAAGCACAGCAGTGTGTACAGAGCGTATCTGCTGGACATTAGAGCGGGAGCTTTCAAGCGAGCTTTTGTGACTCATCGGAATGCGGTGACCACCGCAGTGGAAAAGTCGTCTAGAACAATTGTATGTGACGGGAGAGAAAGGGAAGAAATGTTGAAGAAAGACCTAGAAAAAAACGTGACGTTGTGCCTCCACAACAGCTTCTGTAGAAACAGGGAGACGAGCGTAGATCCTCTACCTTGTTGCAAACAAAGGGTAGAAGAACAGAAGTATTGGAGGACTGCCTCCAACAGCGTCAAAAACGCCACCGACGTGTTGCAAGACACTGAAACTGAAAGTGCGGAGTCAATGTCTCAGGAGAAGGAGATGGAGCATTGACAAATAGCCGAAAAAAAAAGATGCAAAAAGAGAAAACTTAGAAAAAGTTCGAAGTTTTAGAAAATCTAAACGATGAAAACAAAGAAGAAAACGACAAAAACACAGGAGAAAACGAAGAAATGAACAAAGAAGCAACAAAAGAGAAGATGTTAAAACTCAGAATTGTTTATATGAGAAAAACTCAAATGAAAAACTAAGCAACTAAGCTTGCAATTGAAACTGAATGAAAAAAAGTTTTAGTTGATTTTTAGAAGGATTTTTGATTTTTGTTGGATTTATAAATTCGCATTGTAATTTTTTTAGTGGCTTTAGAGACACTGACTCTTATCTAGAAAGACTTGAGATAGGAGTATAATAAATATTCTAGCCTGTATGATTGTTTTTAATCATTTAAGACGACTGATCATTTTGTGGTGACATGAAGTGCTTGGGTAATCTCTTGAATAGGGAGATTGTTTCGATGTTTCTTCCAACCACCGAGTTCCCTAATTTTATTACTCAGGACCAATAACAACTAGATTTCTGAAAGGAAGAAACTTAGTAGGATAATTGTAGTTTGTTGGTTGGCAGGACCATCCTGCGTCCCAACACTTTTTAAACCTAGGAGAAAAAGTTTTAAATAGAGATATTGGCACTAAAAGTCAGAAAAGATGTTTTATATTAAGTCTTATCCTTAAAAGTGCAGATTAGTGAAACCATTTGGAAGGCTATAACAGAGTAGTATGATGCCATTTATTTTCTGCAGTGAGTTGATGTGAAGTTGATAAAAGTGATTTCATGCACTTAATAAATTCTGTTCGATGGCACTGTACCATTTTGATGAATTTTGCGAAACTCAACGGGGAAAATGACCGGGCTGTCCGGGGAGTATGTGGAATTTGACCAGAAAGCCTTCAAAAAGCATTTTGAATTAGAATTTTTAAAGAACGGTTTTAACGAATTAGTGGTGCTAATTGCACGTTTGAACGAATCGGGAATATATTTTTTGGCCTGAATTGCTGATTTTTAAATATTCGACTTGGGCGTGAAATACTCGTAACACTTTTATTTTTCGCGACAATTGAAAACTGCGAGAAAACACAACAAGACAGTCGTGAAGACAGATAAGTCGAACGAGAGTATAACAACAAATTGAGATTGTGATCGGAAGTTTTGACAGAAGACCATTCGGAGTTGTAACGATTGCGCTGCTTCAACCGTTTCAAAGCGATACCCGAGAACCAGGAAGGGCGTTGGGACGTCGTGACCAGCCTACCGGAAAGAGACAAGACAGCTCTCCGTCCGGATTCAAGAATCCGGAAGGGTCTCGGGAGAGACCTGTAACTCAATAATTTAACAATTTTTAGCTTCCCGGAATGTTTTGAGTTGAATTTATTTATTACCAAATTCATTTTTAGAGTATGAGAAGCTAAGAATTGAGGGAAAGAGTTGATCCATCTCCGATATGAATGATGATTTTTCTCTACTGAACAAAAGTAACCATAATATAATAAATAAGTAGTAGCCCTGTTTTTAGGAGTTCTCGTGGTGTGGGGATACCGAGACCCAGCCATGAGCTCACTATTTTTGCATGTAGTTGAGTTAATCTGAGCGTTCTGACCGAGGCCGGAAACAGTAACGTTTTTGTCGACCTGATGTTGAAGGGGTCACACAAAGAACTGACTTTAGCAGAGACGGTTAAAAGCATGTAGAGCTGTGTTCAGACGCTCGCCAGTCGTTTTACATTGTAGCTTTATTTTTCGTCGATATGTACTTCCGGGCGAATGTTACATATTTTTTTTTGCATAACATGGCTAAAAAAACTGACATCACGCCTAGGCAATCAGAAAAATTTTTATGTTCTTTACTGCGTTCATTTTTTCCTGTTAAACTTCGACCCTGTTTTTCGACAATATGTCTTTGAAAAAGAGTTTTCAGCACAGACTACCATAGCAACATAGCAAGAGTTTAGAAATCAAATTTTTGGTTAAACTGTCAAAAAAACAAAAATTTTTGCCAAAAAATCAATTTCATACGTTTTCGCAACAACGTGCATCGTCAGCATTTTTACAATTAACTAATCTAATTGACAATAATACATCAATTTACAAATTTTATTTACAAAAATTCACATAAATTTTGGTTCTAAAACCATCCTGTTAAAAAAATAGCCAATCACAGTCGACCTCTAAATTACTACTAAGATTAAAATACTTTTAACCTCTAAAATTATTTGAACAGTTTTAATTAATTTGTCTGGAAGTTTCCCAGTCAAAATTTCGATTTAGACATGGACGCTTTAAACCAAAAACCAAAAATATTTTGGGACTAAACTTTCAGTGTTAACTCCCTGCTCCTAAACTCATCGCGCGTGTTCAAGCCCGGTTTCTCTTTCCTGATCTGTATTAACTCTAGTGTTAACAATTTTGTTTGGTTGTTGGACCTATCTATAATTTCCCACCTAAGATCTGCGCTATTTCCCTAAAGTTGGCATTGCTGAAGGTGGAGGCCTTCCGGTAAGTCTGCTTTCTTACGATCCTCAGTTTTAGTGGTCAAATGTCGAATAGTTTGTCCGACATAGGCGGAAGTGCATCACTACATGAGTTTAAAAACCACTCTTGACTTGAGGTCATTTGTAAATGCTGACTTCAGTGATGATAAACATGATTCTAGTTTTCTTGTGGTGAGAACCACTTGAACGTTAGTTAATTTTTGTAACCTGTTAGCAAAATATTGGCTTTGCTTAATTTTCGTAACCTGTTAGCAAAATATTGGCTTTATCAAAAAACATTTAAAAAACTGTCATGTTGTAACATTAGAATTTTATTTAAAAATGAAAATAAGAAACCAAGGTACAGACCAAAACTCGAAATTTTTGTTTTTGTTAATTTTTTAAATAAAACAATCAGAAGGTCAAAAGTATCATAGTAACCGAATTTACAGTCAGGATTCCTTCG